GGGCGGGGTGTGTACTGGACGGGACAAGGCTGATCGAGAGAGAGAAACTCTTCTGTCTCGATCAGCTCGTCCTCGAGCTGACAAGGAAGTGACAGACAGCACAGCTACTGCAGCTGTGCTCACTGTCACCGTTTACTGCCGATCGCCGGGAAACAGCCGCTAAGGACCGGCTGTGACCCGGCGACTGACATCCGCGGCGGTGATCGGCGGGACAGATAGGGCGGCGGCGCGCCTCGCGCGTGCCCCTTATTTGTTTACAAAACACACGTTTTAAAGCGTGGTTTTGCCTGCGAGTGCCGCCCTCCTGCCGTATTTCTACAGTGGCTGGGCGGCAAGTGGTTAAAAATGACCTTTCCTTTTCAGGCCTCATTCACACCATACTTTCAGAAAAGCTGATGGAAACTATCACGCAGAGATATCAGTTTTCATAGTTACATAGTTAGTCTGGTTGAAAAAAGACAAAAGTCCGGATTTAAGCCCCATCATGCTTCACAGTTTACCTGGGATTCTGTTAAATATTCTGGTAATTAGATACCTATCATTTCTACCTTTTTTGCCGATTGCACATAATCCTCTATTTCCACCAGGCCTAGAACATCCCCCTTCTTTCTCTTGGTGGACCTCCCATGGCTTTGTCATTGTACATGATTTTATGAGTGCTCGTACATTTCCATCATGTGAATCTCTTTGAGAGGCAAAGGGGGGTCCCGCCACAGGAATATTATCAGTGTTTACAGTTGTGCCACTGGGTCTTATCCCTCCGTCGTTCCTCTACATATCCTTACTGCAAACGCCTTTTGAACACGTCTGTCAGCATTCCCCAGGGTCCCCTGATCCAATTTCTGTAATTTATGTCTCCCTTAACAGTAGGTCCTCCTCATCACCCGTCTTATGTCTCTCATTGGGAGCGAGATCTGCGTTGCTCGATTGCGGCGGAGGATTGGCGTAGGGCCTGGGGGATGGGGGTGAAATGCTCCTTCAATACAGTCACTCTTGAGGCAGCCTATAAAGTTCTCCTGCGGTGGTACTGGGTCCCGGCTCGGACTTCTCACTTTAATCGGACTGGCGGAGATAGGTGTTTCTGGAACTGTGGTCTACGCAGGGACGTTCTGCACATTTGGTGGTCGTGCCCGCGATTGATAGGCTTCTGGTGTAGGGTTTTTGGTTTGCTACAAACCCTATTTCATATTACGGTCCATAGGGATGCAAAGGTGGCCCTCTTGCATTGCCCAATTTTGGGTCTGTCTAGGTCTCAGCAGAAATTGGCATCCTACCTTTTTATTTCGGCCAAACGTGCTATAGCTCAACCCCTTCGGTTGTCTTCCAGGGGGTGAAGACCCGGATGAATGCTATGTTGTTCAATGAACAAATGTCTAGCATTCTTCATGATTCCTTAAGGTTTGGGAACCTTGGATACGTTATTCCTTGCCATCCCTGCCTCCTACTAGCTATGGCCTCCTATAGTCACTGCCTATGCTAGCCCCGGATTCATGATCCTTCTAGTTTTTCATGTTTTCTTTCTGATTCCCTTTTGTTTTATTTTCTTTTTCTTTTCTTCTAACCTTTTTTTCTTTTCTCTTCTTTTTCCGATATTATGTTGGATCACTGCTGCTATTTGGTTCGGCTTTTTGCCGTCTCTTCTTGATGTCACTGGACATTTTGTTATTTGACTAATATAAGTCAGCAGGATGTCTCTTCTTATGTGTTGTTGTTCTGGTCTGCCCCTGCGAGGGCGTGTTTTGAGCTTGTTATATTCTTAAAAACAAAACTTTCTTAATAAAAATATTGAAACAGAAAAAAGACAAAAGTCCATCCAGTTCAACCATTACAAAAATAAGTTATAATCCTACACCCAGAGTTGATCCAGAGGAAGGCAAAAAAACCCAGCAAAGCATGATCCAAATTGCACCTGCAGGGGAAAAAAATTCCTTCCTGATCCCCCCGAGAGGCAATCGGATATTCCCTGGATCAACTTTACCTATAAATGTTATATCCAGTTATATTCTGTGTATCCAAGAAACAATCCAGGACTTTCCTACAGCAATCCACTGAGCTGGCCAGAACCATTGAGGGAGTCTTTTCCACATTCTCACAGCTCTTACTTTGAAGAAACCTTTCCGTGTTTGGAGATTACATCTGGAGGAAAAGAGATTTAACCACTTGCTGTCCGCCTGATGTTTATAAACGGCAGGGACGGTGGCACTCCAGAGGCGGGTTGCCGTTCTTAAATGGCACCCGCCATTTCTAGCTGTGCGTGCTCCTTGGGAGCGCGCAGCACCGCGATCCGGTGCCCGTTGTGTCCTCCGGACACAGTGAAACACTGAGCGTCAGACGAGACCCCTGTACGAGGTCCCGATCATGTGATCACTGATTGCATGTGATCACTGATAGGCCAATCAGTGATCACATGCAAAGTAGTAAGCAAGATGTCACTTGTGACATCATTGCTTACTACGTGTGAAATCTGTGAATGATCACAGAGGTCACATGGTACAAGGCTATTCACAACAGCCCTGTACCATGTGACAAGCTGTGACCAATCACAGCTCACACAGTATTTCTCAATGGCTGCAAGATTGCAGACAGAGAGAGAAATTATTGCTTTTACATCCTATATGGGTGTAAAAGCAATCGCTGTAAAAAAAAAAAAAATCTTTATCGCCCCCCACAAGTAGTACAGTGTCACCATGGTGACACAGTACTGCTAGGGTGACCGTATGTATAAAAAAAAAAAAAAAAAATAATATAAAAATGTTTAAAAATTATAATTTTTGGTTATAAACTAATTTGGCTTATTTTTTTTTTTACTAAAAAGATAACTGAATACATTTCGGCCAAGATTTATGATGAAAGATTATTTATTTGCAAAATTTTATAAGAAAGGTTTTTTTTCAAAATTTTTGGACTTTTTCATTTACATAGCAAAAAAAATTAAAATCCCAGCGGTGAATAAATACCACGAAAATAAAGCTTTATCTGTCTCAAAAAAATGGTAAAAAAATTCATCTGGGTCCAGTGTTGCATGACCGCACAATTGTCATTCAAAGTGTGATAGTGCTGAGAGCTGAAAATTGCCCTGGACAGGAAGGGGGTAAAAGTGTCCGGACAGGAAGTGGTTAAAGAGCGCCCCCTTGTCCTCTGTGATCCTCAGGGTGAATAACTCTTCTTCACGTGCGATTCAATGAGTTTTATACACGTTGCAGATTCCTGCGCAGAAAAAAAAATCTGCATGTGATACCAGTGTTGTGTTGTGAACAGGGCACATAGAGAACAACTGATTTCGTTGTGCCCTTGCAGAATGTGTGCAGAAAAACTGAGGTCTCTGCACCGTGGTGTGAACAAGGCCTCAATCTGCAGCCGCTGCAATCTTCTGTAAAACCTGGAAGCGTTCTGTACACAGTATACAACACACCCTACAGATATGATCCTGCTTGTGTGATTGACTCGCTGAGCTTCCCAGAAGTCTGCAGTAAGATACAAGTCAGATTTTGGGCATCCCCTGCAACAAAAATGTCATGTTTGGCGAGATACTCCCAAAGGAAATCACGTCTGAAGGGATGCCGACCCTGCCACTTTCTTCATTAGAGACCTGCAGTGGAAGCAGCCGGTTGATAATTATAAGGTCACTCCCATTCGCTCTGCACATGGACACAGACAAACAGCTATTTCTTCAGAACAACAAAATGTAGGAATCTGCAACCAAGTTTGCTGGAATCCCTGCAATGTACATAGATCACCCAGAGGGGGGTTCTTTCTCAACAAAAGTGGAGTTACTCTTTAAGTTTGCTCTTCAGGGATACTGGTGTTACTTTTGTTAGGTTGTTGTTGCTTTTGGCGATGAAGTTGTTTGGTAGAAACTCTATAACTAGATCAGAGTGTGACCTTGAAGAGCTGTCCTTGGTGACAATGAGGGCTCTGTGATGTTTTTCTTTCCTGTCACACTTTCCTAATCTTTGTTATATAGAGGCTGGTTGTGACTCCATCTCCCCGCAGTCTGAGCGCGGGGCTGGGTGTGACTCCATCTCCCCGCAGTCTGAGCGCGGGCTGTTGGCTGGAAGTTCAGCTCACAAAAAAAAAAAAAAAGAAAGCAAGAAAAATCTCTAATCAAAAAAAAAAGTCATGAACTCTTTTGATTATTAAAATATTTGTGATTCTGTTCGGTCATTGTTGCAGTTTACACGATCCTCATATGGTATCCTGAAGCTGCTGCCAAATGTCTTCTTTACTGGATAATGAAGAACGAATAAGGTGCTGAAATGGTCCTCTGTATGTTCTATCCCTCCTGTCATTGGGTTTCCAATGTTAGACTGACTGCACCAGGTGATATAAAGCCTGAGTGACTCAAATGGGGACCCTCATTGGAAATGTATTTATTTTATTTCAGGTACTTGTATAGCGTTGTCAATTTACACAGCACTTTACATACATATTGTACATTCACATCAGTCCCTAACCCTCAAGGGGTGGACAATCTAAGGTCCCTAACTCACATTCATACATACACATACTAGGGACAATTTAGACAGGAGTCGGAGGAAACCCACGCAGGCACAGGGAGAACATGCAAACTCCAGGCAGGTAGCGCCATGGTTGGGATTTGAACCGATGACCCTAGTGCTACTTGGTGGAAGTGCTAAAGTATAACTAAAGGCAACAACACATCACCGATCAGCGGAAAGAGCTGATGACTTTGGCTCGGTCATGTGATCAGCTGTGTCCAATCACAGCTGATCGCATGTAAATAAGGGAATGCCGGTTATCAGCATTTCTCTCCTCGAGCTGTTACACTGACAGAGGAGAGGAGGGTCGGTAATCGGCATTCCTCAGAGGGGACATGTACACTGATCATCAGAGCACTGGTGATTGGTGTAGCCCCATCAATGCCACCTGTCAGTGTCCATCAATGCCACATATCAATGTCACATATCAATGCCCATCTGAGTTGCCTTTCAGTGCCAACTATAAGTGCCAGTCAGTACCGCCTATGTATGCTGCCCATCAGTGCCACCTATCAGTGCCACCTAACGGTTCCAGTCACTGCTGCCTATCAGTGACATATTTGAGTACTACCTTTGTGATGTCTGTGAATGCCCACCAGTGATGCCTGTCAATGCCCACCAATGCCTCCTCATCAGTGCCACCTATCAGTTACCATCAGTGCCTCCTAACGGTTCCAGTCACTTCTACCTATCAGTGACATATTTGAGTACTGCCTTTCAGTGATGTCTGTGAATGCCCACCAGTGATGCCTTTCAATGCCCACCAGTGCCTCCTCATCAGTGCAGCCTATCAGTGCCCATCACTGCAGCCTCATTAGCGCACATCGGTGAAGGAGAAAAATTACTCATTTACAAAATGTTATAACAGAAACGAAGAAAAAAACTTTGTTTTTTTTTTAAATTTTCAGTTTTTGGATTAACAAAAAAAGAAACCCAGTGGTGATTAAATACCACCAAAATAAAGCTCTGTCTTCAAAAAATTATAAACATTTCATATGGGTACAGTGTTGCATGACCGCGCAATTGTCATTCAAAGTGCGACAGCGCTGAAAGCTGAAAATTGGCCTGGGCAGGAAGGGGGTAAAAGTGCCCGGTAGGCGAGGGGTTAAACAGAGTGCAAAAACAGCTCTGGCAGGGAAAAGGGTATTATTTTCGGCTGGTATTCTAAACCTTTCTTACTCTGTAGAACAAAAATGAAAAGAGAGTTTTGGATGGGGTTCCGGTTTGATTTGTGTTGTGGTCATTGGGCACCCCTCGGCTACACGTGGTTGTAGTGGATCCTCCGGCGTGTACTGGTGTTTCCTCTGCTTGGACTTCCTGTGGTTCTCCATCTCTCAGGGCTCCTCTATTTTCCTTCATATTCCGTACAGGAAGCCGAAGAGGTTTCGTATTTTTTCCTCTGCAGGCGGCAGGGGCTGAGGTTATTTCCAGCACTGGAGGGTATTATTAGGAGGTTAGGACCGGGGCCAGGAAAATCACTGGCATGGAAGACCTGGTCTCTGATCATTCTCTGCACAGGTCATACTACAGACACCAACAACCAATCAGAATCTTTGTGTTGGGGGGGTCGATGGCTGCAGAACACATTTGATTTCACAGTGATTTGATTCATTCTCAGCAGGGATGCACCAAAATTCAGTGGCTGAAACGTTTCGGCCGAAAACACCCCCTTTTGGCCAAAGGCCGAAATGAAAAAGCGCACCGATACAGGTGCCGAAAAATCCTTTCCGCCACCGACTGCCCACCGCTACTGCTGCCAGCGGCCGCTGCTCGGTAGTTCTCAGCCTTAGCTGAGAAACCATGGAACGATCCCTGGTGCTGGGCATAGAGATTAGTGAAGGAAAGATGGCTTCCACTCCTCTCTATGCCGCAGGACCGGCGGAGCGATGTCACTTCCGGTTCCGGCTATTTTTTTCCCCCCCCAAAACCACTAGATTTATTTATTTTTTGATCCAATGTTTTACATTGCAGAGGAGAGATGTGGGGTCTTATTGACTCCTCCGGACTGATAACTCCTCCCAAGAGCCAGTCCACTGCTTGCATCAGGCCTGAAGGCTCGTAAGAGGAGTACTGAGGCAGGGCGCTGTCTTGTCTTCAGGAATCTATGTACACCTGGCCGGATCTAGCCTATCTGGTCTGGGGGGGCAGTAAAAAATATCAGATCCTTTACATCAGGTGCCCCCTTGCATCAGGTGCCCCCTTGCATCGGGTGTCCCCGGCGGAGTGCCCCCTTGCATCGGGTGTCCCCGGCGGAGTGCCCCCTTGCATCGGGTGTCCCCGGCGGAGTGCCCCCTTGCATCGGGTGTCCCCGGCGGAGTGCCCCCTTGCATCGGGTGTCCCCGGCGGAGTGCCCCCTTGCATCGGGTGTCCCCGGCGGAGTGCCCCCTTGCATCGGGTGTCCCCGGCGGAGTGCCCCCTTGCATCAGGTGTCCCATCAGCACAGTTAAAATCTGGGTGGGCATAGCCCACCCCAGCCCCCCCCTCCCCCCAGTTCTGGCACTGTATGTACAGCTCCCTGCAGGCCCATCCCACCAGCCATAATCTTTTATGCAACAACTTCCACACATTAAGCACACCCAACATTAGAAGTGATTTATTCTTCCAAAGCAAATACACCTTTACACATTGGTACTGACTAGTATTCCCATGTTTCTCTCCCTCACTCAAACTAATGTGACCCCAGTGCTGACAGAGAGGGTGGGGGAGGGGCAAACAAGGATGCTGGGCAGGCGCTTGATGATCTTCTTATCAACCTCATTGATTGTTAGGGCGCTGGCAGCTGGAAGGTTGTAATGGTGCACAATGAACACCTAGAACTTTGTGTAACTTAAAGGCAGGCTCCATCCACCTGTTAACTTGTATACAATTTTTGTGGCATCTTTTAGTGCCGGTTCCCATATATGCGGATTGGATTTGGTTTGAACCGCATCCAATCCGCATGTCATGTGAAATAACATTGCTTCCTATGGTGCCTGTTCACATACTGTATGTCCGGTACTGGCAGTACGGATTGGAAAAGAGTCCTGTCCAATTTCTGAGCAGTGCGGTCCGGTGCGGATTGTTGACTTCTATGGGAACCATTTCCAAACCGCTCGTGTGTGAACAATGTAAAATCCTGACCTGAACAACTACTGTGTCCATTAGCTGTGAAACCTGAGCTTCCATCCGCACCACACTGGTGAACCAGCTCTTAGGCATTTTATTACGGCAAACCAGAAGAAACCTGAAGGCACCCTGGTTGAAAAAGGCTGGTGTAGAGAAGCACAGAGACCCAGTATGTAATCATAAAGGGTTTTATATAAATATTTCGTTATCATGTTGGGGGTAGGGTGGAAAGGAGGATTCAGGGAAAGGTGAAATATAAGCAGATTTAAGGTGAGATCTCTGTACTTGCCTCTTTGAGTGTTCTTGTGTGTGTGACATGGAGTCTTCCTTTAAACTCCCCGTAGAAAAGAACAAACAACCATATAGTGTGTGTATATACAGTTGTGTTCAAAATAATAGCAGTGTGTTGAAAAAAGTGAATAAAGCTCAAAATCCTTCTAATAGCTTTTATTTCCATCCACACAAATGCATTGGGAACACGACACATTCTATTCCAAATCAAAACATGAAGAAAAATATATCAAAATTGTGTTGTTCCTCTAAAAAAAAGTGAAGAAAAGTGAATATTATACTGTTTTAAAAAATCGCAGTGTTTGTATTCTTCTTTACAAACTCAAACATTCACTATATAAACTGAGAAATGTTTGAAGATTTTGCTTTCCTTTGAATGACTTCATGAATATTTGGTTGTAGTCGCACTGTTTCTGAGAACTGCTGTACATCTGTGTTGCATGGAGTCACCCAACTTCTGGCCCCTGTGATCAGGTATTCCAGCCCAGGATGATTGGACGACATTCCACAGTTCTTCTCTATTTCTTGGTTTTGCCTCAGAAACGGCATTTTTGATGTCACCCCACAAGTTTTCTATTGGATTAAGATCCGGGGATTGGGCTGGCCACTCCATAACGTCAATCTTGTTGGTCTGGAACCAAGATGTTGCACGTTTACTGGTGTGTTTGGGGTCGTTGTCTTGTTGGAACACCCATTTCAAGGGCATTTCCTCTTCAGCATAAGGCAGCATGACCTCTTCAAGTATTCTGATGTATTCAAACTGATCCATGATCCCTGGTATGCGATAAATAGGCCCAGCACCGTAGTATGAGAGACATCCCCATATCATGATGCTTGCACCACCATGCTTCACGGTCTTCACAGTGTACTGTGGCTTGAATTCAGTGTTTGGGGGTCGTCTGACAAACTGTCTCCGCCCACTAGACCCAAAAAGAACAATCTTACTTTCATCAGTCCACAAAATGTTGCGCCATTTCTCTTTAGGCCAGTCAATGTGCTCTTTGGCAAATTGTAACCTCTTCAGCACATGTCTTTTTTCCAACAGTGGGACTTTGCGGGGACTTCTTGCAGATAGCTTGGCTTCACATCGGCGTCTTCTAATTGTAACAGTCCTCACAGGGAACGTCACACCTTCTTTCATCTTCCTGGAGCTGATTGTTGGCTGAGTCCGCGCCATTTTGGCTATTCTTCTATCCATTCCAATGGTAGTTTTTCGCTTTCTTCCACGTCTTTCAGGTTTTGGTTGCCATTTTAAAGCATTTGTGATCATTTTAGCTGAGCAGCCGATCTTTTTCTGCACTTCTTTATATGTTTTCCCCTCTCCAATCAACTTTTTAATGAAGGTACGCTGTTCTTCTGAACAATGTCTGGAACAACCCATTTTCCTCAGAATTTTAGAGAAATGCACTGTAACCAGCATGTACAACATTTGCTGCCTTCCTTCCTTAAATAAGGGCAATAATTGCCACCTGTTTTTCAAAGAATGAATGATGTGTGTGTGTGTATGGTGTGTGTGTTTTTGTGTGTGTGTGTTGTGTGTGGGTATATTGTGGGTTTTTTTTGTTGTTTTTATGTGTTTTGTGTGGGGTGTTTTGGTTTGTTTGTGTTGTTTTAGTGGGGGTTTTGTGTGTTTTTTTATTTTTATGGGTGTGTGTGTGTGTGTTGGGGGGTGTGTTGTATTTGTTTGTTTTTTTGTATTTTGTATTTTTTGTTTTTTTTTTTTTGTGTGTTTTTTTGTTGTTTTGTGTTTTTTTGTTTTTGTTTTTTTTTAGTGTTTTTTTTTTGGTTTTTGTTTTTTTTTTTTTTATTTTGTTTTTGGGGTGTTTGGTGTTATTGTGTGTGTTTTTATTTTTTTTTTTGTGTGTGTTGTTTTGTGGTTTTTTTTTTGTGTTTTTTGTGTGTTTTTGTGTGTTTTTTGTGTGTTTTGTTGTTTGTGTTTTTGTGTTGTTTTTTTTGTTTTTTTTTGTTTGGGTGTTTTTTTTGGTGTTTTTTTTGTTTTGTGGTTTTTGTGTGTTTTTTGTTTTTGTTTGTGTTGTGTTTTTTTTTTTTTTTTTGTTTTTTTTTGTTTGTTGTGTGGTTGTTTGTGTTTTTTGTTTTTTTTTTTTTTTTTGTTATGTTGTGTGTGTGTTTTATTGTGTGTTTTTTTTTTTTTGTTGTGGGTGTTTGTTTTTGTTTTTTGTTGTTTTTTTTTTTGTTTTTTTGTTTGGGTTTTGTGTGTTTTTTGGGTTGTTTTTTGGTTTTTTTTTAATGGGTTTTTTTTTTTTTTTTTTTTTTTTTTTTTGTGTTTATGTTTTGGGGGTTTGTTTTTGGTATTTTTTTTTTTTTTTTTTTTGTTGTGTTGTGTTTTGTTTTTTTTTGTTGTTTTTTTTTTTTTTTTTTTTTTATTTTTTTTTTTTTGTTGGGTTTTTGTTTTTTTTGTTTTTTTTTTTTTGTGTG